TTGTGGGGGTTTCTAAACTAGACCTGGTCTGTTGCTGTTGTCTTGATGGAGGAAACACTGGTTTTGTTTTCACAAGTAGAATAAAGGTTTTCAGACATGAGGCTGTTTTAAGAAGCATTCAGGCGTTACCTAGAATGTCTCACTGTCTCTGTCTCCACTGGGTCTGATGTGTCCTCTTCGTGTCCCTTCATTTAGTCTGACAGTGTGGATTTCCCTCTGTGTCACTAATCTGATCAAACAGGATTCAACATGCACAGTGTTAATTACATTAACTGTGGATTCACTTGCATTGTGGCAACAAAGCTGATAAACTGAATGGTTAAAACTTCAGACCAAGTTACTTTGTGCTCTTTCATTTGACAGGTTACTGTTTTAGATTAAGACGACAGATCTTTCCACTGATCTCTGGTTCACTTTCTCTCCCTTTACAGCAGCTCCTGTAGTGTTCACAGTGTGTCTGTTGGCTTCAGCATGAAGGCTGCGTTTGTCCCACAGAGCCCGGGTGGTTGGAGGACTGACGTTACTGAACAGCATACAGTACTGCTGATATACAGTGGGGGTGAAACGTTCAGCTGAAAACAACACGAGTGATCTTAGAGTTTAGCATCTGAATGTAATTTTAGAGTTTGAGAGGTGGGTAAATGGCATTTACATTTAGCCAAAGTGCTGTGCATGTATACAGATGATCTTTAGCACAGGCAGTGTGGATGGGAACACCCGTCACAGTGGATTGTCAGGGATCTGAAAGCAGAATAGATGTTTGCTGTCGGTTTTAGGGACATGCTGTAGATGTCATGTCAGTTCTTTTTAGACTCTTTCCAAAGATCAGTGTTCTGCAGAAACCATCCTTGACCCTTGTGCAGCTCTCTGGACGTTCCCTTCCCATCGTCTCGTGAGGCCAACATCGCTCTGCGCTCTCTATCACCAGACCGAGAGCCGAGAAAAGGCGGCATCAGCAAAGAGCTCACAGTGTCTGGCAGCACGTTGTCTGTGTAAGAGAACCTTTACCTGCTTCCCACTGCTTCAGCCATTTAAAAAAGATTTTTAGTGTTTAGTTTATCTGTGTAAACTTCTGTTTAACTGCTTTCTCCCTGTTCCAGGAGGTGGAGCGCAGATGAAGCTCGAATCCTTCGAGTGTCTGTGGACTCCTTTCTGGATCACCTGTTGCTCGTTCTGGAGACCATGGAGATGTTTGGCTCCCCAGTTTCCCAATGAAGCCTCACAAATGACTGTGACTCTGATTCTGTGATCCTCTTGTCCTCTACTGGAGTTTTAGGTGCAACATCAGGAAGAGAAACCTGGTTGTTACTGTAAGGATTGAA